AAAAATAAAATAAAATTTTGTTTAAAAAAGGGGGCAGGCTAGGGGTGTAGCTCAGTAGGAGAGTGCCCTAGGTTTGATCTCCAGTATGAAAAACCAAAACAAAAGAAGTTGGACCCATACCTCATACCCGATGCAAAAAAATTAATTTAAAATTAAATGCCTAAATGGAAGAACTAGAACTATAAATTTTTTGGAATAAAACATAGGAATAAATTTTCATGTCCTTGGATTAGGCAAAAGAAACATAAATAAATTAGGCATCATCAAAATTTAAATCTTTGTGTTTCACATTACACCAAAAAGAAAGTGAAAAGACAACACACAAAGTGGGAGGCAAATTTTGCTGATCTTATTTCTGAAAATAGGCTTGCACCTAGGGTACACACGTAACTCTTAGGACTCGGCAGTGGAAAGATAATTGAGCCAGTTTTAAAATGTGCAAAGGATCTAAATAGACATTTTTCCAAAGAAAATATATTGGCCTTATAATGGATCTAAGAGACATGAACACATGCAAATATTTTCAGCGTCATTGCCTATCAGTAAAACACAACTTAAAACCGTAGTAAGATACTATTTCAAGATAAAATGGAAACAAAGCTTTGTAAATAAAGAGGGAAGAGGGATTAAAGAGAAGAGCAGGGAATGGGGAAAGAGGGAAAGAGGAATCAAGATACATCACATACAGATACAGGTTCCCTACGATGAATGTGGTCACAATGTATATCTAAATTGTGCCAATAAACTTCATTTTAAAAAAAAGGTACTACAGCACTCAGGAGGCTGAGGCAGGAGGATTGCTGCACCTTCGAGACCAGCCTTGGCTACAAAGTGAGCTCAAGGCCAGTCTGAACTACATAGTGAGACCCTGTCTCAAAAAACCACAAAAAGATACTACTTCAGGTCCACAAGGAAGGCTAAAACATAATAACAAGTGTTAGGGAGGATGCAGAGAAACCGGGACCCTCATACACTGCACGTGAAATTGTACAATGGAAAGCAGCCTGGCAGTTCTTCAAAGGGTTGAACATAGAATCACTACCCGGCCATATGCTGTTTGTTACATCTGTTACCTGGAATTGTCATTACCACATGACGACATATTATCCATTCCTAGGTATATCCAAGAGAAATGAAAACACATGTCTACACAGCAACTCAGATGTGATCGTAACAGTATTTTCATGGCAGTCAAAAAGTAAAAACAAGCCAAATTCCCATCAATTGATGAATGGGTAAATGAAATGTGATATATCTATGATATGAAATACTCTTTGGCAATCAAAATAAATGAAATACTGATATATGCCGCACCACGAATGACCCTTGAAAACATGGCAAGGAAGAGAAGACAATCATAAAAGGCTGCCAGGGATGTGGCTCAGCGGCACAAGCGCCTGCCTGGCAAGAGTAAGGTCCTGAGTTCGATTCCCGGTACAAAAAAAAAAAACCTATTTATTGTGTGGTTGTATTTATATGAAATGTCCAAAATAAGCAAACCTGCAGAGTCAAAAATTAGAAGTTGCCAGGACAGGGGGCAAGAGAGAAATGAGTACCTGCTAATGGGTGTGGAGTTTCTTTGAGGGGAGATAAAATACTTTAAAGTTGTTTATGGTGATGGCTTAACCACTCTATGAGTATACCAAAATCCACTGAATTCTGTACTTTAAGTGGATGGATTATGTGGTATGTGAATTGTGTCTTAATGAAGCTCTTACTTAAAGAAGGAATTATACAGTATACCGTACTAACAAAAAACAAGGAAGACCCTTTGCGGTGGGCTGTCCATGTCCAGCCTCTCATTCAGAAGAGGAGCAGAATTGACTCTATGAATACCGATCCTTGGCCCTTTGTCAAAACTGTAAATAGAGGCAGATGTTGGCCTCCTACATGCCCTTCCAAGAGTGGGCGGAGTCAGATCGCAGGAAAAACCTGGCTCCCAAGGCAAGCGGATGTTTTCTCTTACAAGAAAACAGAAGCAGTTATGCGCGACACTGATTTTGCATTTCCTGCATGAAGGTTGACCCATGAGTTCATGGCCAAGAAATAGATAGCATCTGAGACCCCTGAAGCATGACAGAGTCCACATGTCCTGCGTCGACGTGGGGCTCAACCTCCACTTTGTTTGTTCGGCCTGGTTTAAACTATAAACTGATTCAAACCCTGCTGCACAAGCTGTGTACATACTCCAAACACACCCCATCCATCACCTTGGGGGGTGAGGTCTGACTGAAAGAATATAAAATTATTTGCAGTAAATTGATTTTTTTACTTGGCTAATGACCAAATGTGTTAAAAATCTTCTTGTATTCAGCCAACTTATGTTAATTGCCCACCATTGTCACAACTATTTCTACATGTTATGCTATTATTTACTTATTTTTTTCTTTTTTCTTTTTCTTTTTTGAGACAGGGTCTCACTATGCAGTTCAGGCTGGCCTTGAGCTCACTTACATAGCCCAGGCTGGTCTCGAACTCGCAATGACCCTCCTGCCTCAGCCTCCTGAGTGCTGGGATTACAGGCGTGTGCCACCACGCCTGGCTATTTTTTTCTTTAAATTAATTTCTACTTCTTTTTGTTTTTACCTAAGTGTATTTATGAACCTAAAAGTCAGTGACTTTGCCATAAATTGAAAGTCGCTCTTAAAGATAAACCCAGGGAACCGGGCATGAAAGTGCATGCTGGTAATCTCAAGGACTTGGGAGGCTGGAGCAGAAGGATTGCAAATTTGAGGCCACCATGGGCAATTTAGCAAAACCAGGTCTCAAAGTTAAAAAAAAATCTGGAGATGTAGCTCAGCGGTAAAGTGCTTGGGTATCACATGCAAGGCTCTAGCTAGGTTCAATCCCCTGTACCACACAGAATTTTGAAGTAATAATAAATTTAATGAAAGCAGAATGTTACTGATTCTAACTAGATATGGAGCTTGGCAGGATTCTGAGCCTGAGACCTCATGGTTACACTGGCAGGTTAGCAAGGGTTAGAGACCTGTTAGGACCAAGCTGAGTCTCTCTCCTTGACAGAATCAAACGACTAAATGAGAATAGATTAGGACATTAGAGACGCCGTTGGTTTATTTCTTCCCTGACCCCTTACGGGAACATAATGTGCTGTCTTCCTATCGGGCAGTGAGGTGCTGGACATAGATTAAGTCCTGTTCTTTCCATACGTACAGTCTTGGAAAACAGTTTATCAGAATGAAATAACCTAGGAAGCACTTTGGTGCCTGGGTTTTGCTAAACAGCGCTTTGAGGCTGCTCTGGGAGTTGTTACGATAATGATCATTACCCTGTGATGTCGGAGCAAGGGATAGGTTCTCGGAGCAAGCTGGGGGCTGGGCTGGTTCGTGAATGTCCGTCTATCAGCAGGATGGCCTGGGGGCTGGGCAGGAGGCATGTGGTGCTGGACTCCCGTCAGAGCAGGGCCGGTGGAGTGGGAGAGGGAGCCCTTGACACTTTGAGCTCTTCCAACCTGAGAGGGAAAGTGGAATGTGACGCGGCATCCAGGGCCGGTGGAGTGGGAGAGGGAGCCCTTGACACTTTGAGCTCTTCCAACCTGAGAGAGAAAGTGGAACGTGACGCGGCATCCAGGGCTAAGGCCGGGCGTGAACACGCTTGGGCAAGCTTGAAATCTGCGTAGACAGGATTGGCTGGGGTTACCTATTTGGCTGTTTCGTGGAATGCCAGGTGCCATCCGGGGCCTTGTCAAAGATGCAAAGCTGCTACCCTCAGGGAGCTTCTGATCTTACGGAGGAGCCGTGGGGACAAAGAACTACCACAAAGGGTGAACAGGGGAAGGTTCTCTTCTTTTAGCTTTGTAATGGCTGCGAATGGCAGAGCTGCACTCTGACCCAGCACACGCCCGCAGGACCCCGGGTCGGTTCCCAGAGCCCTGGAGTAAGTGACTTTCGGCGTCGTGGATCCAGGTGCTTAACATAAAGCAGCAGAACTGACTCTCAGTGGTCCAGCGACTTGGTCATGGACACATCCTCCAGAGCCGGGGTGGAGATCAGCTTGACCACTCCCGCCTGCCTGGGAGGGGAGAGAAGACGTGGGCAGACAGGCTGCATGCTGCCCACCCCGGCGGCCTCGCAGGGAGTGGCCCTCGGAGGAGGGAGCCGGTCACTGCCACCCACCGTCAGGAGGGTTTCACGTAGGAGGAGCTCTTTGGTCTGGACCTGAACTTAGAACACAGCTGGGGCTCCAGGGACAGGGCTGGGGTGTTCCCGCTGTGTGTCTGGCGAGAAGGAAAAAGGAACAGGCATTTCCAGGGAGCCACCTGGTGCCAGGGTCTGGACAATTGTCTAGGTGTAATCTTCGCGTGGCTCTGTCTCCTCGTGCAGATCTATAAATCAGATATGACGGGAGTGGACTCCGTGTTAGAGGATTCGTCTGGCGTGCATGAGGTCCTGGGTCCAAACCCCAGCACCCCCAAAAATAACTAGATGAATAAATAAATAGAAGAACTGGAGTGTGATGGTGGACACCTGCAATCCCAGCACTCTGAGAGGCTGAGGCAGGAGGATGACAAATTTGAGCCCAGCCTGGGCAACCTGGTGATTTAGCAAGAACCGTCTCAAAGTAGAAAAGAAGTATAAGAATAAAAAGTCTGTAACTCTTGGTTGAATCTCAGAGTGAGCTTAACAAACACACACACACACACACACACACACACACACACACACACACACACACAGATCTGATTATCTGCACTTCACACATAGCAACCTCAAGGTCCGGAGAATTTAGTAACTTGTGCACGACGTCCTGAATCCCCGGAGGGCAGGAGACCTCTCTGTTGTACTGATCAGTGTGTCTCCAGGGACCGCTAGCGCCTGGCATGCGACAGGCGCTGGGTAAATGCTTCAGGGCTGCGGGCGGATGGACCGACGGGGGAGGAGGGAGGCGGGAGGGAGGGCGGGAAGGAGGCGGGCGGGGTATGGCCGGGCCTCTGGCCGTGCCTGGGACGTCCCGTCCCACACCGCTTCCCGGTGTCGCAGGGCCACCATGCATCTGAGGAAGTACCTGCTGAAGGGCCTGCACCGGCTGCAGAAGGGCCCGGGCTACACGTACAAGGAGCTGCTGGTGTGGTACTGCAACAACACCAACACACACGGCCCCAAGCGCATCATCTGCGAGGGCCCCAAGAAGAAGGCCATGTGGTTCCTGATCACGCTGCTCTTCGCCTCGCTCGTGTGCTGGCAGTGGGGGGTCTTCATCAAGACCTACCTGAGCGGGGACGTCAGCGTCTCGCTCTCCCTCGGCTTCAAGACCATGGACTTCCCGGCAGTCACCATCTGCAACGCCAGCCCCTTCCAGTAGGTGGTACCTGGAGCCCGCGGCCCGCCCTTCCTCCCACCCCACCGGTCCTTCCGCCCTTACTTGACCTTTCTCTTCTCTCCCTGTTCCTTTTCTCCTCTTCTTTCCCTTTCTCCTTCTCTCCCTCCATCTTTGAGTTCCGCCTCTTGCAGCAAGTGAGATTCAAAACTCATAAACTTTTTAGATTTAAAGAGTCAGGAGTGGTGGCGCACGCCTGTAATCCCAGCAGTCGGGAGGCTGAGGCAGGAGGATCTTTGTAAGTTCGAGACCAGCCCGGGCTTACACAGTAAGCTCAAGGCCAGCCTGAACGGAAGAGCAAGACCCTGTCTCAAAAAGACAAAAATAAATAAATAAATTGAAAAAAACATTTGAGTGGTAGAAGTGTGTGCAAGGCACCTTCCTATGCCTGGTGACAGCCGCACTGGAAGACAGGAGAAAGCCAGATTCTAGGTGTGCTGCCTGCAGCTGCCCCCCTCCACCTCCCCCACCTCTCCCCACCCAGGTATTCCAAAGCCAAGCCTCTGCTGAAGGACCTGGACGAGCTGATGAAGGCGGTCCTGGAGAGGATCCTCGCCCCTGAGCTCAGCAACGCCAGCGCCACCAGTGCTCTGAACTTCAGCCTGTGGGACCACGCGCCCCTGGTGCTTATCAACGAGCGGGACCCCCACCGCCCCGCGGTCCTGGACCTCTTTGGGGATAACCGCAATGCCTCAGCGGGCAGCAGTGTGCCACCAGGAAGGACCGGCGGTGCCCAGGGCTACAAATTGGCCATGAGACTGGTGAGCAAGCCGCGGGCCCTACCCAGCCGGGCAGATGGGAGGCTGTTCTCTTCAGTAACGTGGATCTTTCTGGGGGAAGCCAGTGTTCATTTTCTGTTTTATATTCACGAAGTTTGTACAGAAATGGAAATAGCTAGCTTGTTAGTCAAGACTCTTTTTGATGCAGCTGATCCCGCTTAGATTCACTAATGCAAAATAGAGAATTTTTTGGCTCATATAGCTGAGAAGTCCAGAGATGAGTTGGGTTCAGGTATGGCTGGCTCCAGGTGCTCAGACGTTGTTATCAGGACTCTCTCCCTTCATCTCCATTGATGTTACTCTCGGGCAGGCTTTCTCTACAGAAAGGGCCCTTGCACCTCACCAGCTCTGCAGTCTGCCCGAAGAGCTCCTATTTCTCAATAGCTTCAGCAAAGTGGGGGTGATGTCCGCCTCTGTGGGAGCGCAGTGGTGGGGGCATGGTTCCCTGAGAAGGACCCAGGTCTCACTGCCACAAGCCATCAGCGCTGGGCGAGTGAAAAGCCACAGCTGGGCAGCAGAGTTGGGCCCCAGGAAACAGCTGCTCTTCCCGGGGTAGCTGAGACGCCATCAGCTCCTGGAGGCTTCGAGTGCCACTCAGGCCTGTCAGGGTCCCGGGGCCCCAAGGGTGCTCTGCACCGCGCAAATCCCTGAGCGCTGCTCCTGGCGTTTGAGGAGGCAGCTCGGGGCAGGGGCCCAGGACCCGGCAGGGCCGGCAGGTTCTTTGGTGACTCAGGATCAGCTGAGACGCGGACCAGGCTGGAGCCACACAGCCCCCAGCCTGCGTTGCTCACTCACACGCCCGCGGGCCCGCAGGGGCGCTCCGAGCCCTTTCCGGCACCGGCGGTGCCCTGCTGCCTTCCCTGCGAGCATGGGTGGGTGCGGTACGACCGCGTTCCCGACGCAGGGGTGCAGCCTCGGGGCAGCGGACCGAGGACCAGCCCGGCGCTGCTGGGGCCTCTGCAGGGTGCGGGCTGCGCTCGCCCCGGGCCCACCGCAACCCCCTTGCTCCGCAGTGCAGCCGCAACGGGACCGTGTGCACCTTCCGGAACTTCACCAGCACCGCGCGGGCTGTGACCGAGTGGTACGGGCTGCAGGCCACCAACATCTTCGCGCAGGTGCCGCGCCGGGAGCTGGCGCGGATGGGCTACCAGGCCGAGCACATGATCCTGGCCTGCCTCTTTGGGACGGAGCCCTGCAGCTACCGGTGAGCGCCCCGTCCACCGCGCCGCCTGCCCGCCCGCCCAGCACGGCCGCTCAGCTCTGCGCCGTGGGACGCTGGACGGAGGGGCGCAGGACCAGGACGAGGGAAGGCTAAGCGGGCTGTGGGCCCTGGGGAAGCCGAGGCGTGGCCGCCTGGGCAGGATGAGCTGGTGCCCTCCCTTGAAACGGGGTCCCTACCCCGCCCTGGCTGGGAGCCGCCCGCGCATGGGTCTCTAACTTCCCCCTCTCGGGGCAGAAGGGGCAGCTGGGGGCCGTAAGCCGGAAACACTCAGCCTCTTAGGGCGCTGTGGAACCCGACAGGAAGTCGTGGCGGGCACCCCAGCTTCGGACACCCCCGGTTTTCTCTTCTCTGGAACAGGGACTCCACTCTGGGAGGCTGAGGGAGGAGGGTCACAGCTTCAAGTCCAGCCTGGGCAACTTTGACTTAGTGAGACACGGTCTCAAATAAGACATGAGAAAGGGGCTGGGGATGCAGCTCAGTGTGAAGGCCCTGGGTTCAGTCCCCAGTACACGGGGAAAGGAGGGAAGGAAGGGAGGGAGGGAGGGAGGAAAAGAAAGAAAGGAGAAGCAAGCAAGCGAGGTCAGTCATCGTCTCCGGCACCCCACGCCTTCTGAGCCAGCCTGGTGGTGTGAAGCCAGCCTCCCGGGCACAGGAGCCTCAGCTGGCCTCTTGAGCGCTCCCTTGCCTTCCCGAGTCAGCCTCGGACACAGCGCAGGACCGTGTCTCTCTGCCTGCGCCCACCCCCCATGGACACCATACCTGCTTAGTAGGAAAGTATGACCCCCCCTTTGGAGCGCACACAGACTACAGGTGAGCAGCAGCGCAGCCTGCTATGAGAACATTGTTTACAATAGCTGTTTACTGTGGACTCCCCTTAGATTTACAGGGAAGCTGCAAAGACAGTACAGAGCTCCCCTGGGCCTCTTGCCTGGTTTCCCTCTGTCCTCTGACCTCAGCATGGTGCTCGGTGAAAAGTAAGGTGGTACCCGGGCGCGGTGGCGCACACCTGTAATCCCACGACTCAGGAGGCTGAGGCAGGAGGACTGCTGTGAGCTCAAGGCCAACCTGGCTGACATAGTGAGTCCAAGGCCAGCCTGAACTGCATAGCGAGACCCTGTCTCAAAAAAACGCAAAAAACCTAAGACGGTGAGGTCGGCGTGTGACGGGCGGAAATGAGATGCTTCTTTCAGATGTGATCAGTTTTTCCCCGTGATTTCTGAGCCCTGGGATTCCGTCCTGGAGACCGTGTCGCGTTTAACTATCGTGAGGGCCGGGGCAGTTTCTCAGCGTCCTTGTTCTCAGTGACCTTGACGGCTCCGGGGCATTGCCGGCTTTTTGTAGAAAGCCCTGCGTTTGGCCGATTCCTTTCCCTTCACTGGAGTTCCGGGGTCAGGGGACGAACACCCTGGGGGAGGTGAGCAGCCTCTTCATGACGTCACCCCGGCGGCCTGTGACGTCACCCCGCGTGTGCGCCTGCCCTGCTTGGTTCACCAGACTTCTCCCTTAAAGGAACCTATTATCATTATTATTATTATTATTATTATTGTTATTATTATTAGCTACAGCAGCAGCACAGCGCATTCCTCCCCCCTTGGCCCGTGAGTGTAGTCAGCCGCTTCTCCAAGGGGCCGTGCGCCCTTGTGCTGGAGGATGGTACTTAGAGCACAGGCTCCGAACACGTGAGCTTTGTCGTCATTGTTACTGTGACTGCTGCCGGCTGCGCTGGGAGGGTTTCCCTGACTTCTGGGCCACACAGGCTGCTGTTCCACTGCTTCCTCCAGCTTCCTCCGTTTTCCAGTCTTCTTTTCTTTTAACGGCTCGGGGGCGGTTAGAATCTCTACCTACGTTGCCCGGCCTGGTCTCGAATGGTCCTCCTGCCTCAGCCTCCTCAGCCTGCACAGTGGCCCTGATATCTCCTGGGCCTTGCTGGCCTCTGCCCGAATTCCTAGACCCTGTCCCGAGAGAGGGGATCCTGGCCCTGGAAGCAGAGGCAGCCAGACTGGGCACAGCCTCCCTGGGTCGAAAGCATGACCCCAAGCAAACAGCGGGCCCACAGCCTGGCCCGAGGGGACCTGGCCGCACCCTCACCGTCTCCTGCTCCGGCCACGTCTGCCCAAGACAGTTCTTGGGAACACTGTGTCCCCAGAGCCCGGGCGAGGTCCCTGCTTCAGCGTGGTGCCTGCTTCAGCTGGTTTGCCCTGCCGTGTTCTCCGCCTGTGGCCACAGCCCTCATCCTGCGCGGTATGGAGACTCGACGTGCTGCCCACAGCCGTCCTGCCCTCGGCCCTTTGCCTGGCTGCGCCCGCCCGAGCGCCCCCTGCCCCCGCCCTCTAGGCTTCACGGCCTGTTGCTCACCCTTGAAGCCCTGCTCCGGCCTCACCCCGCCCCAGAAACCTTCCCTCCCCGCTTCCCACCCTCGCAGGGCCCGGTAGCGCCCCTCCCTGCTTATCTCTGCGATGTCTTTATCGCAGGTTATAGTTTATTCAACAAATATTTACTGAGTGTCTATGTGCCGTGTGCCAAGCCCTGGAAACAGGGAGGTGAGCGGTCAGCACCAGGATTCTTTGGCTGTCACAGCATGCACGGCATCTCACCCTCCCCGCGGGCCCAGGGCGGGCTGCGCGATGCCCGGGGTTATCATGACCGATGGAGAAAGTGAGGCGGGAGAAGTGACAGGGTGCCCCCGGGCTTGCCAGCTAGGAAATGGCAAAGCCGGTGTTAAACTTGGGGCAGGCCCGCCCCCAGCCCTGTACTCTAAACCCCGAGCTGTCCTCCTCCAAGGGCAAGGTCCCATGGCCCGCAGCCCACACCAGCAGGGGGCAGCTAATAAACAAGCGACTAAAGCAAGCCGACTTCACCCTCTGATGCATGCGATAAAGGGAATAAACTGCGAGAGTGGCTGGGGAGGGAACTCTCTTACTAACGCTTGGTCATGAAGTTCTCTCTCTCTCTCTTTTTTTTTGTCTTTTTTTTGAGACGGGGTCTTCCTATGCAGTTCAAGCTGGCCTTGAGCTCACTTTGTAGCCCAGGCTGGTCTCAAACTCCCAAAGATCCTCCTGCCTCAGCCTCCTGAGTGCTGGGATTACAGGCGTGCGCCACCACGCCTGGCAAGAATGAGTCTGCGTCTCATACCCTGAGCCTTCCCACCCACTTTGCTGCTATATTCTTTATTTCCTTTTCTTTGGTACCGGGAATCAAACTCACGACCTTGCGCTTGCCAAGCAGGTGCTGCGCCGCTGAGCTATATCCCCGGCCCCTCATGAAGTTCTCTTAACCAAGAGTTGGCATGTGTCACTCTGTGAGCGGAGGAGGTCCCCAGGGGCCTCAGAGCAGATGAGCTCTGCAGAGCCGGGGGAAGCTGGCCCTTCGGAGGGCTGCCGAGAGACAGTTTGAGGCCCAAGCAGCAGCAGGTGCTAAGGGCTTGCGTCTGGAACACCTGGAGTGAGCTGCGTCTCATTCTGCGAGCACAGCCAGGGGCGTCTGGAGGGGCCTGAGCTGGTGTGCCCCGTCTGATCCACGCGTCCACGCTGGCCCGACTGCAGGGCCACGGGGCACAGTGGAGGAGCAAGGGCGGAGGCGGAGGCTTCTGCGGGGCTCCAGGCAGGACGGCTGGGAGCCTGCGCACGGCAGGAAGGGAGGGAGGGCAGGCTGGAGTCACGTGGGGGAGCACCCACTCAGGGAGCGCTTGCTGGACCAGAAAACGGGGCTTCTTTCTCATTGTCCTGGCACCGTTGAGGAAGCCCAGGCCCGGAGGCTGGGGAAGCAGCTGGAAGCCATCACACGTGGCCGTGCTGGCCGCCGGGTTGCTCTGCCCGGCCGGCACCAACCGCCTCCCTGAGACGGCTGAGGTGAAAGGTAGAGCAGAGGCTGCCTTATCTGAAAATGGGGGAACTAACGCCTGACCCCACAGGGTTCTTCTGAGGGTGAGGTGAGATAATATATGCAAAAATTTTCAACCCGCGCCTGGCCCACAGAAGTTCCACAATGAATGTCAGTAGCAGAATATAGAGCTGCTCATAAGATTTTTTTTGTGTAGCATGTGAGGTACTCATTGCTGTTGTTTTTTATTTTTTTATTTGTTTTTATTTTTGGGTCTTTTTGAGACAGGGTCTCACTATGCAGCTCAGGCTGGCCTTGAGCTCACTTTGTAGCCCAGGCTGGCCTCAAACTCACAATGGTCCTCCTGCCTCAGCCTCCCGAGTGCTGGGATTACAGGTGTGCACCACCACCGCCAGCTACACATTATAATGTTTTACCAATTAATCATTTTGATGTATAACATGCATATTTATGGAGTATGGCGTGAGTACTCCATACATGTCTACTATGCATAAGATCACATCAGGGTCATTAACATTTGTCTCTCCTTAAACATTTCTATTGCTGTGTAGGGAAGATTCGAACTTCTCCCTTCTGGTTTTGTGGGTTTTTCGTGGTTTTTGAGGCAGGTCTCACCGTGTGGTTCAGGCTGGCCTTGAGCTCTCAGGGACCCGCCTGCCCCCCGAGTGCTGGGATTACGGAACGCACCACCGTGCCTGGCTTCCGTGTAGACTTTTAGCGGAGGATGTGGACTGCAGTTACTGTGCGGTGGGGACTAGCGCTTGCTCCTCCTGTGGGACTGTGGTTTGGAGCCTGTCCTGCAGCCCCAGCCCTCCCCTCCCCACCTCCCAGCCTCTGGTCCCCGGTATTCCACTCTCCACTTTGATGTGCGCACCCTCGTCAGCGTCCACGAATGAGTGAGAACGCTTGATATTTGTGTCTCTCAAACACTGATTTTAACTCGTCTTCTAATTTTCTATTAATCCATAAATTGTCTCCTGTTCTCTCTCTTACAATTTATTTGTTGAAGACGAATGATTCTTTATCCTGTCAAGTCCCCCCCACAGTCTGGGTTTTTCTGATTGGCTGTGGTATCTTTCTTTTTTTTTTGGTACCGGGAATCGAACTCACAGCCTTGCGCTTGCCAGGCAGGCGCTGTGCGGCTGAGCTGTCTCCCAGCTGCTGTGGTATCTTTTAACAGCAAGAAAGCATTCTGTCTCTGGTATTTCCTAACAGTAGGGAGTTTAATCTCTTCTCTCTGACTTTTTGGACGGGGCCTCTTCTTCAGTGACACATTCCTCTTCAGACGTTACCTGAAACAAACCAGGACTCTCTATTTTATACAGGGTCTCAAAAAGTCCCTCAGTTGCCTCAGCTGGACTTGAACTTGCAATCCTCCTGCCTCAGCCTCCTAGATTGCTAGAATTGCAGACATGTGACACTGCACTTGGCCCTGGAACTCTTGATAACAGCTATGTTGCATGAAAACAATCAGATGGAGGAAGCCATAGATTAAGAGAAATTTTAAAGGCAGATCAACCAATTCTATGTGAAAATTATTTGGGGATCAATTTAAACCATTAAAGTATAAAAACAAAATTGGTATTTATAAGACAACTGGAAATTTGACCTGAACGTGTAATAGTACCAAGAAATTTTATTATTTTAAACTTGGTAATAATATTATTTTTAAGAGTTCTTTCAGAAATACACATGGAAATCCCTATCAAAACAAATATTCTTTTTAAAGCTAGGTGTAATGGTATAATTCAAGCCCTCTGGGAGGCTGAGGCAGGGGAATCACAATTTGGACCCAGCCTGGGCAACTTAGTGACTTGGCAAGACCCTATCTCACAGTAAAAATTTTAAAAATGGGTGGAGTTTGTAGCTCAGTGTGAAGGCCCTGAGTTCGATTCCCAGTACCACTACCACCAAAAGAAAAAAAAATGATATCTGAGATCTGCTTCAAAAAATCTATGGGAGGATGCTGGGCTTGGTGGTGCACGCCTGTAATCCCAGCACTCAGGAGGCTGAGGCAGGAGGACTGCCATGAGTTCGAGGCCAGCCTGGGCTACAAAGTGAGCTCAAGGCCAGCCTGAACTGCATAGCGAGACTCTGTCTTAAAAAGACAAAAAAAAAAACTATGGTGGGGAGTCGGTGGAAGATAGTGATAAAACACAACTGGTCAGCCGTGCAGTGAGTTGGAACGATACCGGCAGTGCTGGTAGGGGCTTCCTCCTCTGCTTTTTTACACTGGAAATGTTTCGTACGTGAGACAAAGCATTTTGCTTTGTTTTTAATTTTTTGGCGCTGGAGATTGAATCCAGGGCTGTGAGATGCTAAGCCCGTGCTTTGCTACTGAGCGACACCCGCGGACCTTTCGATTTGTTTGTTTTTGCTGAAGTCTTGGAAACTACTATGTTGCTACAACCCCACTGAGCATCCTGTTGGAACATTTGCTCTTGGACTCTTAGGAAACGCTTCCGTGACCCGGAAGGACTTGGACGGGCCTCCTCTGCTCCCCCGGCCTGGCTCCCCTGCAGGTCTCTGACCTCTGCTCCATCCGCTCCCCTCTGACTGTCTGCGTCCTCTCCTCGTCCCCAGGGCGGCCCTGCCCACCTCTCTGGGTCCCAGCCGCTCCTCGAGCAGTTCCCGTCTGGTGCCACTTTCCAGACTTGTGTGTGGTCTGTTTGGGGTCCTGCGGTTGGCATGGGGATTCCTGCCCCAGGTGGTTGAAAACAGCAGGCGTTTATCTCAGTGGGGAGCTCTCGGACCCACAGAAAGCCAGCCGTTGGCCGGAGGCTCTGGGGCAAAGCCGCGCTCCCGCCGCGGAGGGTCGTGGCCCAGGCTTTCTCGGGCCGGCAGCGTTCTCCCGCCACCTTTACATGACTTCTCCACAGCCGTGGCTTCCCCTCCTCTGCCTGCATCAGGACATTAGCTTTGGACGTAGGGCCCACCTGGGTGATCTGAGTCCATCCCGTCTACTGTCCTTGGTCGTATCTGTGAAGGCCCTTTCTCCAAATAAGGTCACGTGGACAGGATCCCGCGGTTAGGCTGGACGCATGTTTTTGTAGATGTCTGGGCGACAGATGCAGGTGTCTGGAAAGTTCTCTTTCATCATTCACAGCTGAGGCAGGAGGATCGCCTCGAGTCCGAGACCAGCCTGGGCTACAGAGTGAGCTCAAGGCCAGCCTGCACTGCAGAGTGAGACCCTGCCTCATAAAGACAGAAGACAAACAAAGAAACAGAACTCATGGCTCAACCGAGGCGAGGCTGTGTCTTTCTGGCCCCCGCGGCGGGGTGGGCCTCGTGACCTGGTGCCCGCTCTGCCTGCCTGGGCCCCTCCGGGCAGTGCGTGGCGGGCAGGCAGCGGATGCCCGCCTCCCTGTGGACAGCAGGAGCCCCGGGGAGGCCTGCAGGAGGCGCTGGCCGGTGTGCCCTGCCCTCACGCCGCGGTGTCTCTTTTAGGAACTTCACGCCCATCTTCTACCCTGACTACGGCAACTGCTACGTCTTTAACTGGGGCATGAAGGAGAAGGTGCTCCCCTCCGCCAACCCGGGGGCAGAATTCGGTGAGTGTGGGTTTGTCCGGCGGCCAGAGCCAGGAGGCTTTAAACCCCCGACCGCGGGGGCCTGGAAGACGCGCTGCTGCGGGAGTGAGGCAGAGAGCAGGTCCGAGGCGGGCCCGGCGGGGATGGCCAGGGCTGAGCCCCTGCTGCCCGCCCCCAGCGAGCGAGCGCGCTTTGCCAGCCCTGCCTCCCCCCCGCGGTGCTCAGACAGGACGGCAGGCGGGAGCCGCCCCCGTGAGCATCGCGAGGGCTCCCAAGCGCCTTAGTTGTGGCTCTGGCGCAGGCTCCCGAGCCTGGGTCCCGTCCCGGCTCCACCGCCGGCTTGCGGGGTGACTGAGCTCACGACCTCACTCCTCAAGGCCTCAGTTTCCCCTTCAGAGACGAGGTGCGGGAGCGCAGAGTGAACCACTGTGAGCTCACGGGAGCAAGCCGCTGCCCCGCGCCCGGGAGGGGGCTCCGTGCACGCAGGCCATCGGGGCCAAGGTCACCCTTACTTCCGCGCTGACCTTGGCCTCCCTGCTGTCTAGCTCTGTAGTTTTGTTTTCGGCAGGACTCGGGGTCAGCTCAGGACCTCACACTGAGTCACATCCCCAGCTCTGTGTGTTTTTATTTTGTGACGGCATCTTGCTGGGTCATGAAATTCCCCAGGCTGGGCTCCAAGCTGTGAGCCTCCTGCCTCAGCCTCCTGGAGTGCGCCGCCACACCCAGCTTATGCAGGGAGGAGAGAGAACCACAGACAGACGGGGGCCAGGGAGTGAAGGGCAGCAAGGAGAGGGGGACCGGCTCGCGGCAGTCGTCCTTCCGTCAAGGCCCGCGATAGCCTGTGCCCTGGGGGAAGGCAGTGAGCTCCTGCTGGGAGCGGCTTTGGGGCCTGTGAGCCTGACACAGGTTTGGTGAACCTCTCCTCCCACCCCTCCCGCTGTGACCTCCGCAGCCACCAAGGGTGGGTTCTCCTGCAGTGACCCGCAGGGCTCCTGGCCAGTAGGGGGACAGTGGGCTGACCCCTTCACCTCGCCCTTGTCCCTGGAAACACTGACACAAAGGAGCCAGAGCATCACTTTACAGAGGCTCAGAATTACACTGAGGAGCCAGCTGCCTCCTCCTCCCCCGAGCGGCCACACCATGCCTCAGTGTCCTCATCCGCAAAATGGGGGCAGCAACAGTACTTATCTCATGGGGCTCTGTGAGCATGCAGTGAGATCATGGATAAGAAAGTACATCATGTGCCGGGCGTGGTGGCGCACGCCTGTAATCCCAGCACTGGGGAGGCTGAGGCAGGAGGATCACTGCGAGTTCGAGACCAGTCGGCACTACAAAGTGAGCTCAGGGCCAGCCTGAACTGAAGTCTCAAAAAGACAAAAAAAGAAACAAAAAGAAAGTACGTCATGCGGCACTCAGCAGTACACCTCAGCCTGATTGCCCTAAGCCGTGGGACCCAGCTCCAACTCCGTCTGGCTCGGGGCTGGCACATAGAATATTGGGTCTGGTTCCTCAAGGGCAGCTGAGTGGGGAAGACAGACCATAAGGGAAGAATCACACACGTGAGGCGGGACCGGGAAAGAAAGCCCCAGCGCGAGGGGAGGGCTTAGCAGGGACCCAGCACAGCCAGCCAGGAAGCTTCTGGAGGAGGTGACTCGGGTCAGAGAGCAGGAGGGGAAGCAGGAGTCCCAGGCGGAGGCGGAGGCTGGGACAGCCTTCCAGAGCAGGGATCAGCATGCGGCGACCCGGCAGCAGGAAGGGACAGCGTGGGGACACCGGCGGCCTGGAAGGAGTGGGGGGCCTGCGGCACCTCCGAGACCTGCTGCACAGAAGAGATTATTCGGGCTGGGGCGAAAAGAGCCCAGGGAAGATATGTGGGGCTGTACCACAGGCAGAAAGTGTCTGAGGTCGTGTTTTCGCACACCGGTGTAGCTTCCGGGGCGGGTCCCGGGGGCCCCCCGGGCTGGGATGAGCTCGTCCAGTGGGTGGCAGGTCTCCCTCTACCTCAGACGCCCTCACCCCACCCTCCCTGCAGGGCTAAAGCTGATCCTGGACATAGACCAGGAGGACTACGTCCCCTTCCTCACGTCCACGGCGGGGGCCCGGCTGGTGCTTCACGGGCAGAGGACGTACCCCTTCATCAAAGAGGAGGGCATCTATGCCATGTCGGGCACAGAGACGTCCATCGGGGTGCTGGTGGTACAGCTGGAGCCCAGGGGGCCGGGGTGGGAGCCCGTCTGCCCCAGGGAGGGCTCTTACAGCTTGGAAAAGAAGGGACCCAGCCCCCCCCACACACACACACACACTGCCCTTCCCTGCCCCTTCTGCCTCTGCCTGGGCGGAAGCCAAGCTGGGTGCGATTTCCCAAACCCGCAGGGCAAGCTGCGCCCTCAGGCACCTTGCTCAGCACCCCCTCCGGTACCCGTGTTCCCAGCGTTTGGTGGGAACAAGGCACAGAGAGGCTCTCAGGGGTGGCCGGGGTCCCCATGAGTAACCTCTCTACACAGGACAAGCTGCAGCGCATGGGCGAGCCCTACAGCTTGTGCACCATGAACGGCTCCGACGTGGCCGTCAGAAACCTCTACAGCACTTACAACACCACCTACTCCATCCAGGTGGGCAGGCCGCGCGCCCCTTCCCTGTCCTCTTGGCCCCGGTACCCGGCACGCCGCAGGTCTCCGGGAGAGCTGGCCCGGCAAGGCCGGCTCTGCGGGGCTTTCAAACACTCATGGGCGCACGTTTGCCCGACGTGCTGGTTACACGCCTTGGGGTTGGTACACGTGTGTAACACATCTTAGTGGGCTTTTTACTACCCTTTGCCCTCCCTCAATCTCTGGTCCCCCTTCCCCTTTGTGGGGGGTCTGCTGGATTTTTCTAGGGGCCACAGCGTACCCAGCCCTGCAGAACCGGTGCAGCTCCCAGGTTCTCTCCCAGGCCTAGGGCTGGCCCCCTCTCATTCCCACCTGGGCAGACGGGGCTTTGGGGACACCCAGGGTTATGTGGGATCTCGCCCTGGAGTCTCCCCAGAGGGAAACAGAAATAACAGCTGACACTGGAGCTCTCGGGGGTGTGGGATCCCGTGCTACACGCTTGCACAGGTTAAGAAGTAACTTACCCCCTTGCGAAGAAATAACATACTAACAATGGCGGATACTGATCAGAGCGGGCTTGTGGCGCGCGGCAGGCATTCCACGTGTTACAGCACTTGGTCCTCGTAGCCACCCCCGGGTGTTGGTGCTGTTCCCATTACCGCTTTAGGAGTGAGGAAACTGCTCGGCAGAGCCCAGCCTAAGCGCCTCATCCGTTTCCTGGGAAGGCCCCTTCCACACCTCCTCTCGGTCTCCCTGGCTGCAGCTGGAGGCCTCCCTCCCGCCCTGACCATCAGGCCCAGCCCAGGACTGTCCACCCCAAGCCCAGCCTCATTAGGAGAGGCAGAGCGGATCTTTCCGCAGACAGCAGAAGGGACCACTTGCCCGTACGCTTCCCCCAGCACACGCTGCATGGCAGACAAGAAAACAAGCAGGCCGGAGGCAGCCTGGTGCCGGCACTTGGCACGGTGTCCCTTTGTGCCTCGGCCACAGGAAACTGACCCCCTTGGCACCTGCCCACCCGTCCAGCTGGCCCACCCGGCCCTGCCTGGCCGGTCTGCCCCCCGCCCGTCTCGGGGGCCTTCTTGCGGTGGAGGGCTCTGGGACCTGCCACGCCTCTGCGGGCACAGGGAGATGGGAAGCGTGGACGAGGCCCCAGCCGGGGCGTTTTATCCCCGGAAAACCTCAGCTCCTGGCTCTGCAGAGGCAGCAGCAATGACCGGGCCCTGTCAGAAGCTCGGCCGCGGCCCTGGCCTCCCGGGGCAGCCTGGGCCACCCCCGCCAGCGTCGCAGGGCTGGGGATGACGCCTGCTTCCCGGATGGGCCGAGGGGGTCTGGAGGTGTGGGAGGCACTTGCCCCAGCCAGCACGCCTACTCTGACCCCGGTCCGGCTCCTGCACGCCGTTCAGTCTGCCCGCTGTCCCCGTCTCCTGCCCACGGGGGCCCACAGACCCTCAGGGAGAAGGGAAGGGCAGGCGCCTCAGTCTGGGAAGGAGCCAGCAGGAGGCGCTGGAGAGGAGGCTCTGGGAGCCTGGGGCGGGGGTAGGGGCCAGGCCGAGAGGAGAAGAGCGGCGAAGGCTGGAGCTGGGAACCCCCTAGTCAGGGCTTGGGGCCCCGGGACAGGTGAAGCGACGTGACTAACGGCTGCTTCCCGAGCCCCTGACGCTCCGAGTCGTCCAGCCTCCGGAGGCGGGTGTGAGGGGCGCCTCGGCTCACCACGAGTAAACTGAGGCTGCGACGGTAATAACTTGCCCAGGGCGCGTAGTTGGTCCCTGAGTGGACTGAAAGCGGGGCACAGTTACCCAGAAGCCCAGTATGTTGGGCCTGGTGAGTGGAGACCTCACGTCGGTCACGGGGTGGGGGCCGTGTCCTCCTCCTCCCTCTCCCAAACAAGGGACATGCTGTGTTCCAGCAGTCTGGTCCTTTCCTCCGCCACCATCCCCCAGCGGTACCAGCAAGCCCAGCCTGCCCCTCTGTGCCTGGATGTCCCTCCGGGAGGAAGAGCTCAGGCCGCCACCCCCGGGGTCCCTGTACAGAGAAAGCTCGGGAGAGCGCGGACACCCTGCAAACGGAGCTCTCTAAGCATTAGATTTACCTTTCGGGGCCATCCACCCCTGCCATGTCACCTGGGGACCCCAGTTCTGGAGGGGAGGCCTGGGCTGCTGGGGTCCCTCTGCGGGGCCCAGGACCCGCTGTCTGGTGCAGCAGAGAAGGACAGCCGCAGCCTGAAAGCGTGGTCCGTGGCTACGGTTTGGTCATCTCACCTTGGCCTCTTGCCCAAAGGGACGCCTCTCTGCAGCGCCAGCTCCCTTGGCCTGGGTGTTGGCTTCTGGGGGGTCCTTCCTCCTGAGCTGGCACGGGAACCGCACCGGCCGTGTCTGTGTTCTCTCTGCCACCCCCAGGCCTGTCTCCACTCCTGCTTCCAAGAGCATATGATCCGCAACTGCAGCTGCGGCCACTACTTGTACCCACTTCCCCCGGGGGAGAGATACTGCAACAACCAGGACTTCCCCGACTGGGGTGAGTGGGGCTCCTGCCAGCTGGGGTCCGTGCCTGTGCAGGCTTGGACCACGGGGCAGGAGGAGAGCCCAGGGGCATCCCCCGCGCCATCCACTGTGACTTCCTGGGCTTGTCTGCGGGCGCCCGGCTCCTAGCCCCTCCTCGACGCCCTGAGAACGTAGGTGTGGCGAGGAGCTCGGCCTCACGGGCACGTCTGCACATCACGTAGCTGGCTGCGTGAGCACGAGCCCTGGGGAGTGGCTGCTGCGAGCACACGCGTGTAGATGCCCGTTTGCAAGTGCATGTGTGGAAGGTGTGTTTGTGTTTGCATCTAAGTGCTCCTGCCTGCAGTATGGGTGTGTGTGCGCATCTGTGCACCCTGGCCGGGCACATGTGTGTGTACGTGTGAATGCGTGCACAAGGCCTCATGCCCACCCTCAGAGTGTGTGTCCGGATCTGTGTGGGGTCATCGGTCTCCCTTCGGGTGCTGGGCTGGGAGGGGAGATGGAAGCTTCGGTCATCATGGTGGTCTCCAAGCACGGAAACCTTGGAGTCCCAAGAGGCTCAAGCTGTGGGGGCCGGGGGGGCTCAAAGTCCAAACGACCGTGGATGTCAGCAACCGTGGAGGGTCCTGCTGCATCTTAAAGCCAACACAATCCGTGGGCGATGGGGAAGACGCCACCCGCTCCAGCCGCTCCTCCCTTTGTACCTGGCCCCGTACCTCGCCCGCTAGGCAGGGATGGGGCAGATGCGCAAAGGGCCGGCTGCTCTGACCCTCCAAGGCGGGTCCGTGAGCGGGACCACCTCCCAGCCGACCTGGGCCACAGTGGCTGGAGGTCCAGTTGGGGTGGGGAGTCTTGATTCTCCATGACAGACGGCTTGGGGGGAGCCCCTCCTGTCCCCCACGGAGCTTAGGGGGCGGGGCAGAGCCCTGGGACCGCCCGCGAGTCCCGACCAGTTCCCCTCTCCTGCCCAGCCTACTGCTACTTCAACCTGCGGATGAGTGTGGCCCAGAGGGAGACCTGCATCAGCAGGTGCAAGGAGTCCTGCAAGTGAGTGTGGCGCGGGGGCACGTGGCCACCGCAGGGGGGGCCGGGGACAGGGTGGCAGGACAGCAACGGGGCCGCCTTCTCTCTCCAGTGACACCCAGTACAAGATGACCATCTCCATGGCCGACTGGCCCTCGGAGTCCTCTGAGGTGAGGTGTGGAGTCCTGTGCGCCCGGCCCCTGTCTTTGGGCCGAGGACAACTCTGGAGCTCGGAGAGGGCCGTGTCTCTCCTCCCTCCCTCTTTCTTCCCAGCTCCGTCCGTCCTCCCCTCTACTTCCCTTCCTCCCTGCCTCCCTCCCTTCCTCCTTTTCCCCTGATGTCCACCTAACACCCCCAGGCCCTGTGTGAGGGACACAGCAGTGCACAAGGCAGACGTAGCACTTAGGAGCTCGAGGGCTAATTGGAGAGGGACAATATGTGCGATGTGATCGAAAAACTGTGAATGTGTAAAAATTTTTTTAAAAATTTATTCCAGTAAAAAGGCACATGGCTGTTGATCTCCCTCAGAATATTCCCCCACACTTCAAACACGCTTATCCCGTCATTTGTTCGTTCATTTTTGTACTGGAGATTGAACTCAGGACCTTTGCACTGAGCAGGGGCTCACTAAATTGCCCAGGCCGGGCTTGAACTCGCAATCCTCCTGCCTCAGCCTCCCAGAGTACTGGGATTATAGGTGTGTGCCATTGTTCTCGCCACCTTCTGAAGCAGCTGTGAAAGTCCTCTCTTGTGGGTGTCTTTAGCCGCACTGTCAGGGCTGCGTTAGTGTCCTGAATTGCTTCAGAACATTTACCTTTCATGGTCACTTCGACTTTGGGGAAGAGCCAGAGGTGAAACGGTGCCGGAGCTGGGGAGTGAGGTGCATGAGGACACTCTGCAATGAGTCAAGGAGCCTGCCCTCCAGCTGCTGGCACTCAGCAGCAGAATCCACTGTATTTCCCATACACCTTCAGAGCCATTCAGGACAGAGGACTTCCAGAACTGCTTCAGAAAATGGCAAGAACCGTGGGATAAGTGTCAAAGTGAGGGGAAGCGTTTTGAGGGCATTAATGGCCATGTGCCTCTTACTATAACAGATTTTTTAATATAAACATTCACCATACATTTTCACCGCCCCTTTGTACACATATAGAAATGAAATAATTTCAAAGTGTGGTCATGGTTATGCAGGAAATAGACAGGATTATGGGACAGAGTAACAAGGGAAGCCACTCCTGGGGACAGGGAAAATCCTCTTGAAAAGGCAGCATGACCCGGACATGGTGGCGCACCCCTGTAATCCCAGCACTCGGGAGGCTGAGGCAGGAGGACTGTTGTGAGTTCGAGACCAGCCTGGGCTACAAAGTGAGCTCAAGGCCAGCCTGAACTGCAGAGCGAGACCCTGTCTCAAAAAGACAAAAAAAAAAAAGAAAAAGAAACAGCAAAGGCAGCATGTAAGCTGAGACCCAGAGGCTGGGTGCTGTGGGCAGAGCAGGGAGGGTTCTGGGCGCAGGGAACAGCACGTGCACGGGCCTGAGGTGGAAACTTCCCGCCCACAGCCCACGCTGTGGCACTCCTCTTGCTCCCTGTCCCCACCTGGGGTCCTCCAGGGAGGTGCTGGGCTGGGCTCTACTTTCCCCCAGGGAGCGGGGGCCGTGACCGGGAGGGAAGGTGTACGTGCCATTTTCTTCAGCCACTTGCTTGGGTTCTAGGACTGGATTTTCCACGTCCTGTCTCAGGAGCGAGACGACAGCACCAGTATCACCTTGAGCAGGAAGGGAATTGTCAAGCTCAATATCTACTTCCAAGAATTCAACTACCGCACCATTGAGGAGTCCCCAGCCAATAATGTGAGTGTGTGAAGCTCCAGCCCTGAGGATAGGAAGTAGGTCCCTAAAGCGGTCCAGGTCACTCTCCCGGGCTGAGAGGGTCGCCTCCACTCCTCCCCACCCACAGCCCGCTGCAGTGACCCCTGGGGCAGGGCTAGGGGCGAGACTGTGCCACTCCCAGCCCGGCCGGCGCCTCAGCTTCCCCCCTCCACAGATCGTCTGGCTCCTGTCCAATCTGGGCGGCCAGTTCGGCTTCTGGATGGGGGGCTCCGTGCTGTGCCTCATCGAATTCGGGGAGATCATCATCGACTTCGTGTGGATCACCATCATCAAGCTGGTGGCCTTCTTCAAGGGCCTGCGGCAGAAGCGAGCCCAGGCCGCCTACACGGGCCCGCCGCCCACCGTGGCCGAGCTGGTGGAGGCCCACACCAACTTTGGCTTCCAGCCGGACACGGGCAACCCCAGCCCCCAGGAGGAGGCCTACCCTGAGGAGCAGACTCCGCCCATCCCGGGCACCCCACCCCCCAACTATGACTCCCTGCGCCTGCAGCCCCTGGACACCATCGAGTCTGACAGCGAAGGCGACGCCGTCTAGAGCTCATCCTTGCCCCCAGCGCCAGGCAGCTCAGGAACCTGAAGCTGAGAAGTCAAGACCACGGCCAAGGCCTCATGCCATGGTGCCCACTGAGAGAGCCAGGGCCTCAGTGTCCCATGTCAGAGCCCACGTTTCTCTATGAAAGGCCATCAGCAACTGGCCATCCCCAGGCCAGTGTCTCTGCAGGCCACAGTCCTGGTGTAGGACGTGGGACCCGGGTTCTCACCTGGTTCCCGCCCCCTGCCTGCCCTGCCTTCTGGCCGGGGATATACTCATCCCGGCTCCCGAGACCCCTGGTGGCTGCCCACTTCCCTGCCATGCCAGGCACCGTGGTACCAGGGGAGATCAGACCGCCACGCTGTGTGTTTCCCTCACTGGGCTCTGGCCTCTAGGAACAGGGCTGGGGAGGGCAACCACGGAAGAGAACGGGTGGGCATCAGGTGGGCGCTGCTGGGGGACGCACGCTTTGTTCTGGAAAATAAAAGCAGAGAACACGGAGTGGAGCTTCGTTCTTTGTCTGACTGGGCAGTCAAGCATCCTGACATATGTCTGGGGCCGGAAAGATTTTCACACTGGCTTGAGAGCAGAGGTCTCAGGCAGGCCAAGGGGCAGATCTCTCTTGCGGTTTTTACAGGACATTTCAAGTTGCTTCTGAAGCAGGGGCTTAGTGGCTTTTTCAGTACAACCCAACCTGCTTCTTTGGGCTGCAAGAACAGAGACACTCAAAGTGGTTTAAGCAAAATAACCTTAAGGAGCTTAAATGATGTGGCCTGTCCGCTACCGCCAGGTCCCAGGCTAACGCTCATTGGTCCCCACCTGGGTCACATGCCCTTCTCTGAGCCAATCAGCAGCGCCAGCCGGAGAGGCTGCCCAGATTGGTCAGACCTGACTCTACCTGCTCAGACCTGCAGCCACTTTAGGATAAAATTCAAGCTGTTCGGTTAATGTTGAATTTCAGATAGATAAGAAATCAGTGTTTCAGTACAAGTATATCCAGACGGCATTCAAAATATACTAATAAGTCATGTATTGTTTTCTCTGAAATTCACATTCAGCTGAGTGTCCTGGGTTTTTAGTCACTAAACACGGTAAAGCACCCCTGCTCCTCAGCAAGAGACAGGGAGGTGGTCCCAAAGAGTGAGGGGCAGCAGTGCAGAGAGCGCTGCAGCGCCCTGCTGCCCCGAGCAGGACCCCGGTTTTGAAGGTGCTCTGGCTTCAAGTCCTGCCCGCGAGGGCCCAGGCCAGCTGCTGAAAACCAGCTATCTGCTTGGCCCGAAAGGAAACGAGCTGGTCTCCCACAGGTGGCCGTGGTGGGCCCTGTCGGCGGTGACGCTGAGCTCGTGCCAGTCCGGCCCAAGGCAGCGTGGCTAGGGGCGGGGCAGGGAGGGTTTCCCAGCCCGGGTCGGCTCTTGGCTGTTACCGCCTTCACTACCACCACCACTTTCACTAATAGCAGTGGTAGATGTCACACACTCCGCCACCATCTGTTGTGGCACCACCTGCCTGCCACGTGCTCGGCCCACGCCAAGTGCTTCACAGGTCTCATCCCTTCTCTGCTCATAACCAGGGAGAAACAGCCTCACCTCGTTTTGTAAGGAGAGTAAGTGGCGGCTTAGAGAGGTGATGTGAGGTAGCCAAGGCCACTACTCTGCGACTGCCATGATCTGAAGGCCTGCAAAGCTCATCCTGAAACTTAACCCCCACGTCTGTATGTTAGTGGTGTGAGGAGGCCGTGCCTTGGGGAGGGACCGGGATTACAGTGGGAGGGAGGATGGCGGCCCTGGCAGCTTCATAAGAAGAGACCCGAGGCGGTGTGCTGCTGAGCCCCGCAACGTGAGGTCTCACACCACATCGTGACGCCTCAGAAAGGCCATCACCAGGTCCCAGCCTCTCGGTCTTGGACTTTCGGCCTCCAGAACTTTGAGCTAAATGAATTATGCTTCCTGTGGTTTCCAGTCATAGCAACAGCAAGCAGACTAAGCCAGCAACAAAGCTAGGACCACGGCCTTTCCCTGGCGGTGCCAATGGTCAGAATGGTACCTGTGTGTTACAGGAATCTGGAGCTGTACCCTTACTGCATTGTGAAGCAGGCCCGGCCTTAATTACTGTCAGCGCCTCTTGCAGCCCTGGGTCACACGTCAAGTTGAGCCAGATCAAGCTGCAAAGAGAGTTTATTAGCTCCTGTAGTAAAAGCCCTAGGAGGCCCAGCATAGCTGCATGCAGGGTTCCCCTATCAGGCTGTGTCTGTCTTAAAGTCATTCGGAAATTCATTCTCTCCGCATACTGCTGTTTCCAAATACCTCTTTACGTCCCTCGGCCAGGCTATCTCCCTCTGCTCAGCAACAGAGGGAGGAAAGCCTCCCTCCAGGGTCCCAGTGAAAGCTCTGAGGATGGGGTTCATTTGGATCCACCCGGGCAACATGCTCGTCTCAAACCGGTCACGGCGATGGGACGGGTGTGGCTGACCGGCCCCCTCTGAGTGAATCCACAGGGTGCAGTCGACAGACACCTGGAAGAGGTTGTGTTCAGAGACATTTTGGAGTTGCCATGGATGTGTGAAGCTGGAAGCAGGCGGGCAGTGGACAGTTTGCCAGCCTTGCTCTCGGGGGAATACCAGGCCATGGGACAGTGAGCTCATGTCTGAAGCCCAACTCTGAATCAGGCGTCCCAGCTCCCTCCCCTCTGGACCCGGAGGGGAGAAGTCATTCTCCAATTCCGACCTCTAGTCCAGAAGGGAAGCTGGGCCGCAGGTGCTGTGGGCCTAGGAAGCAAACACTGACCGTGAACTTGCTGTATGCGGCTGCCTCCTTGCATCTCAACGGCTCTCAGAATAATCCTGAGTTGAATGTTAGGTGCTATTTGACCCCTGGTTTCAGATTAGGAAACGTGCCACAAAGAAGTTGTTCGGAGCCACTGAAGCTGGAAAGTAATTACAGGAAGAGGCCAGCCCGAGAACACCGGAGCTCCGAGAACAGGGGAGCCCTGAGAACACGGGAGCTCCCAGAACACGGGAGTCCTCGAGGCGCGTAAACAAGCCGTCATAGCTTGTTAACTGATTGCTGGGCGGCAAGGAGGAAATTAACCAACCTCTCGAGAGTATCAATAAACGCTCTGCTGCTCTTGGGCAGGTCCCCTTCTCCGCTCAGGACAGAGGACCTCCGCCTGACCCCAGCTTTTTGTCTCTTGTCTATTTTTCCCTCATTCTCACTGCCGTTCCTTCCTGGGGTACAGCAAGAAGCCAACGGATCCATGCAGTTGGCGCCCAACGTGCGGCCCTGATAGGGTACGTGGGCGCTGAGAATGCTCCCCAAGAATGCACAACAGAAGGGGGACAGCACATTTCTGAGAACTAGTATTCAGCGCTGGAGTGCGGGGTACCGGCACGTCAGGTGTAAAGTGTGGGAATGCGTGTTTTTTAGAGCCAGAGAATACACAGGGCTATTTTCTTCAAAGAAGCCAGCAGAGGAAGGGATACTGAAGCACAGGCAGTCTCAAGACTCCTGGGGGTGTGTGTCGTAGAAGTGCTTGTTGCGTGTTTGACTCCTGTATTTAATTTTCTGGATGTCGGTTTGGAGGGGCTTTGAAACCAGAAGGGTTTGGCTCAGAACGTTATGTTAAAATCAAGTCCTGAGCCTAAGCGGGATGTGGAAGGCAGAGCAGCGGCACCTCCGACGGAGCCTGAGCCCTCCAGCCTCCCCAAGCTAAGAAGGAAGGAGGGCTGGGGGACAAGAGGGACTTTTCCCCACCAGAGGGGGGCTTCCTCGCAAATACCGTTGCACGACGTCCGAAGAATTTGACTGAGCCACAGGCGGCTATCCCGGGCTTTTCTACTTGGGCTACAACAGAGAAGCCTTCCGCCTCTCAGGGAGTGCGGCCATTTTCCCTGTCTCCCTTGCAGTTGGCATTAGGAGAAGCTAGAAGGGCGGGGGAGACCATGGAGGGTTTTCAGCATATCTGCCCTGTAACTGAAGTTCAAGTCCTTGAAAATCCGGGACAAGTCACACATCATTAGGAAGCCCTACCTTTTAAAACTCTGAAAGAGTTAAAACAAGCTGTTGCTGCTCACGGCCCCACTGCTCCCTTTACTTTGAGTTTACTGGAAACTCCAGGACAACAGATGACGCCCCCAAATGACTGGAAGGCAACAGCCAGAGCGTGCTTGAAGCCAGGTGTTACTTACTGTGGGAAGGAAACTTCTTTGAACATTGCACAGACCAGGCAGACCGTCACGCTGTTCATAAGGGCCATTGCAGAGGACATGCGGGTCGGGGAAGGTGCTGTGCTGTCACCAATAATCAGCTGAGCTTTGAGCCACCAGCATAGGAGCAAACCAAGATGGCTGTCTGAGGGCTTGGAGGGAACTCCTTCCAAGGGTGAGACCGCCCTTAATTTGGCCTCTATTTACCAAGGCCCGGATGAGACTTTTCAAGATTCTGCCACACGCTTAATGCAAGCTCGTGAGAGAGTCACAAGTCACAGAGAAACTGTCAAATTAACAGTTCAACAGCTGGCCTTTGAAAACGCGAACAGATGGTGTAAGGAGGCTTTGAGAGCCCCAAAGATGGGCGACGTTGCGGAGATGACTTGGGTCTCGCAGATATCGGCCCTCGCGCGCACAGGCCTGCCCTGGCAGCCGCCGTCACTCACGTTGTTCACCCACAGGCTGGAGCAGAGGAAAAAAACAAGGCTGTTTGCTTCCGTTGTGGCAGTGAGGGACATTTTGCCCAGAACTGCTCTGCTACACCTGTAAGGGCCACACAGACATTACCTGTCTCTGCAACTAAACCTGGCAGTCCTGTACTAAGTGTGGATGAGGGCATTGCTGAAATAATCAGCGCAGATCTAGAACTGTTGGAAAAAGTCGGCCCTTCCCGAGAAACCCCCACTGGAGCTTGCCTCGGCCCCATCAAATAATGGGGGCCCCCCGAAGGCCGCCGGGGGGGGGCGGGGGGCTGGGCACATTCAGGTACCCGGCCTGTGCCCCCTAGTCCTATCCCTTTCCCTGCCTGCTGGACGCCAACGGCGGGCGCCTCTGTGCTGGGGACACCCTCCTGCCTCGTTCTTCTCCGCCATGCTCCTGCGGCACTTGGCCCAGGCTTTGATCCGTGCCCCGGAAGGCCCAGGTGCTGCGATGCGGGGGTGCCGGTGAAACCGCAGCGCGATGCCTCAGTTCAGTGCGCGCCGGGGCGGGGGGCAGATGCCGCTGTGCAGGGCCGGGACTCCAGAGCCCCGCCGGCCCCGCACACTTCCAGCGCTCTCACCGCCAAGGGCCGGGCAGGAGCAGCAGGAGGCTCACACTAGTCAGGGGCCCCACAGCCCACGCTGCAGAGGCCAAAGCGGCCCCCAGCAGCAGGGAGGCCCGGGGGTGCCGGGGACGCGAACCCCACTGTGCAGGAGAGGTCGCCGCCAGGAGCAGAGCCAGGCCTGAGCGCCTGAGCTTCCGGCAAAAATATGGCTATTGTCACTGCAAAGACGCAACATTCGCTGGGAGAGAGTGT